TTTGATCTACGTGTCAGGTTAACGCACAGCAACAACAGCTAAATGACAACCTAAACCACAAACTGCCAAGATGCCACCTCTTTTTAGATGAGAAATGTGAAAAATGAACTCTTTGCTTCATCCCTGAGTATCATTGCCTTCCAGGCTCATAGAGATGGAGTGTGGTGAGGGCAACTCCCACGGGGCTGTTCACTGTGCAGAAGAGACACAGCGCATGCTCTGTGAAGGAGTGCAGAACTTCCTCAGGAAGCAAACACAACAAGTAATAGTTTGCTGTTAGACCCATCACCCTAGGAGCCAATCCAGGAAACTGCAGATAACCCAACCTCAGTGCCAGAAGCCAAGGTCCATTCACATATACTGAGCTTGTCCCCACCAGAGAAAAACCAGGCAAAGTGACTATAACTTATAGGCAGAAACTCTTGTTTCAGGAAAATGTTTCCACTTGACATTTAATTTTCAGGCAATATTTAACAAAGGAGTTTTATTTAAGAGAAATCTTCAGAAAACACTGCCTAAGGTTGGATCTAAAATAATGTTGACATTTTATCTGCACTAGAGCTAACCTCAGAAGCAAGAGATCCCTGGAGCTTTCAGGAAAAGAATTATGCACAGTGGTAAAAGAGATGATGCCTCACATCCCCCTTCAATCTTGACATCCTTAAATTAAAGCTGTTTTCTTTTCTTAGCTAAGCCATTGTTACTAACAACGAAAACCAGAGAACTTTCTTAATCAACCCCTTAAGAATCCTATGCTCGTCATCTATCACCTAGCTGTCTATCTATTCATTTATTTATATCAGTGACAAAATAATCATAAAAGGAAGCCAAGCAATATTAGTTTGATGCATAGTACTTTGCTACCACCATAGTGTGATGTACAGAAAGTCCTACAAGTAACAAGGACCCCATGAACGGATCCGAGAGATGTTGGGATTTGTACTGAATCGTACAACTATGCTGAGGATTCCTCAATACACTAAGATCCAGATCCTGCATGTGCTCATTCTCTCTTTCAGGCCATGATTTGGTAAATTATGGCATCTGTTTATTCAACAGGCAGATCTTGCACCATTCCTCAGCGACAAGGGCCAGGGGGTCAACAGCAAGCAAGCTTTCACACCATTACCAAGCAAATATGGAGGACAGAGAATTTAACAAGGATAGCATGGTCGGCACAGCACTGGGGAGTCAGAGAAGGCACCCTGAGTTGGGCACCCTGAGCTGACTAAAAACAAAGGGGCCTCCCTGGTGGTGCAAGGGGTTAAGTCTCAGCACTACGAAGTCTTTGCAGCCACTGCAGCAGGAGTTCAATCCCCAGCCAGGGAGCTGACCCATATGGTGCAGCAGACCTCTCCTGTCTCACCCACTGCTCCACTCAGCATGTATTTCAGTCAGTCTGCCTGTTCTGCTCCCCACTCTGTCTCTGGGGAATCCTCTCGTACCCCACACCTCTGGCTCACATCCCAGTTCTTATATGCATAAATAAATAAATCTTAAAAAATAATAAATAAATAAATAAAAGCAAAGACCTAAAAGGCATGCAGGTGGACACTGGCCACAGAGCGTGGGGATAACCTGTTCAGAGGTGAAATCTAGTCATGCGGGGCTCTGTGAGTCATGTTTGGGAAAGTGCGTTTATCCAAAAGGCAGTGGGTAGCCATTGAACAGATCTAAGCAGGTGAGAAGCATATGTGATTTGCATTTAAGAAAACTCACTCTTAGCAGTGCCCTTAATTAGTATACATGTAGCGCTGCAATGATGTACACCTGAAACTAATATAATGTTATAGTGCCATGCACTTTTTTTTTTTAGAAAATGCTGGCACTGTTGTTTGTAGGCCTTGTTCTAGTTATAACCACCAAAAATAGAAATAAAATTAGCACTGTATTTTTAAGCTCTAAAAAAATCATTTTATCAAGGTATATTCTATGTTCATATAAACTACGTACATAAAATCCTTATACATATTAATATGCATATTTTGATGAATTTTCACAAAATGAGCAAAATGTGACCAAAAATGACACCCTGGAAGCAGCCCTGACTCCCTCTCTGAGCCTCTAAAGCTAATTTATCCTGACTTCTAAAAACATATATTAGTTTTACCCAATTCTGTGCCTTACACAAACAGAAGCTACAGCAAGGGTTCATCTGCCTGTCTTCTGCTTAACATTATATTAATGAAATCACCCACATTGTTGCCTATAACTGGTTTGTTCATTACATAGTGCATTATGTAATGATAACCCAATTTACTTATATCCTGAATGAGTAAATTTTTTTCTTAAAGCAGAGAAAGTGGTTTTCCTTTCTTTCATTGAGGCAACACTGCTGCATCAAATTATTTTTTAATAGTCAGTATCGATTTTTATTCACTCCACCAAACCACCTCTGCCCCTACCCCATCTCTTCCCTCCCCCAGGCAATGGACTTTAATCATTCATTCATTCATTCATTCATTCATTCCTTGGAGGAAAATTGACTGGCTTTTATGTGGCAAGTAGATTGAAGAGAGGGCAGTGCAGAGATGAGAGGGAAAAAAAGGAAAAGAACATGGTGTTATGTCTGTAACGATGGAGAAATGTTTAGGAGATAAAACCAACAAGCCTTGGTGAGTTTGGCAACCTGCATTTTCCTTCAGACAAGAGGAGAGAATACTATCAGCTAACAAGCAATTCCACTTAACAAGAAAGGACAGTTATTCTACGACACACATAATAAACTTCTGGATAATTAGAATCGAGTTTCTTGTGTGGTTCTACAAAAGCCACTCACCAGCCCAGCCTCACTATGTGACACAGAACGCCAGCTCAGGACCAACACGAGGGTCTTTAGTGGGACCCTTCCCCACAGAGGGCCCTTCACAGTCAGGGCCAGGGAGAGCACTGGGCACAAGCATGTCACTAAAAGTTAGTTTAGTGAGATGAAGTATAATTCAGGTGGTGATTAGGTCGAATGTGTCAAGCTCCTGAAATTACGTAGCATAAAAATAGGTCTCCTGTGCTACATTTTATTTAGCGAACAAATGACAGCAGAAAATTGAACTAATTTTCTGAATGGAAAGGTAAAGTAGGGCAACCACTGAAAAGCAGCTGGAAGAAAGGCTGAAGAGCGACATTAGCAGCACTAGCTCAGACGCTGATGGCTGTGAGGTAAAAATAACAGGTAAATAGACACACGACGAGAGCCGGGTTGATTGAGTCTAGAAGGGCTGATGTCTCACGAAGTGAGAAGGACCCATAAATAGACGAGTTCCCACTCATGGGAACAGAATCCACTTGTGCCAGGTCAAGGAGAAACAGGTCACATAATGCAGCAGGAGCAGCTCTCCCCTGGAACCGCAGATGCTATGCTAGTACTTGGGTAATCTTTGCTCCTGTAGGCAGACTGTACTTTAAGATACGGAGATTTTAGCTTATTTGCAGTTACAGCTACATCTGCAGCTCCTACCCACTACCATGCCTGATGCTGTGATGACATCAATGACTAGAAAATGAATGTTCAATGACTGAATGAGTGAATGGGCTTAAGGCAATTGATTTAAAGTGCTTAGGAGTTCTTTCATCTTAATCTGCCTGTCTTCTTAACTGTACGGGATTAACTACCTCAGTTAGATGATTACATTCTTTCAACGGATAAGCAAAGCAATCGATCAGTGCATTACCTTTCTCAAGGATGTAATGATTCTAATTTTTCCTTTTCGTTCTGTCCTTCCATATAACACATAAACTGCTTATAACCACATGCATTTTTGTTTTCCAAAATTTGTCATAAGCTTTGGATACAAAAACAATAACCTTCCTGCCTTTGTTTTACAGATCTTTAATATCCATGGCTTTTGCCCTTGACCACAAAACACCACTGTGACTTCCTGTACTCGACTTTATGTTTAATCCTAGCAAGAGTCTTTTACTGCAGCCACATTTATTCTTAGTTATTCTTTTTTATCTTCATTGTGATCACTCACATTTCCATTGCCAAGCCACAGTCACCCACTGATGTTGCACCTTCCTTTCCTGCATGTCTTAGATGGTGAATTTCCTAGGTATAGAACTGAATTTGTATTTTCATTTTTAGTTTTCTTCAGTCCTGTCTTCCAAAGATTCTACCATTTTTCACCATTAACAAGCTTTCCTCCTTGTTTAGAATTAGCATCATAATTAAAGTGTTCTCATTTCATTATCAATGTCTGCCACATGAAATTATTAACAAGGCAAGGAGACAATTTATCAGCTACTCTGCTTTTCAGTATAGTGTCTCTTTCAGGAACCATCTGCTCAACTAACTCAACTATTCCATCACTATTACGAGAAGCTGCCTTGACATTCACTTTCTAATTTGCATCAGGAACCACTCTCCATGTTACCTATTGGGTGGCAAGTCTATGTTATATTCTCTTACACCCCACTTCTGATGCTGCTTTTGACTATGTCCCCAAACTTCAGTCCTATGCATCCATCATGAGGTCATTGGATTTACGAAGAGGCACACCGTACAATCCCACGCCACCCTACAACCTCTTCTATGAGAAATGCCACTTTATCAGTATCCACTTCTTCACTTTCCTTGCATAAGTGTACTCGCCTAATAGAGATAACATAGTTGCTCAATTTACTTTCCAGATTTAGCTAAATTTATGTCTCAAAATTATTTTTTAAAAGAACTTACAATCTTTGTGTAATAGTCACATAATTTTCCCATAGAGGCTGCACTAGTGCTGTAGTTAAACACAGAGATAATTTAAGTCTGCTATATTAAAATCATGTTTATGTCTCTTGACAGTTAAAAGTGAATAGCCAGGAGTCTTACACAAATGCGTGGTGATCATAAAAAACACTGAAACCTGACAAAAGGATCATTTAACTCCACTGTAACTAATGAAGTGGAGGGCAGTAAGTAGCTAGCCAAACTTAAAATCAACTCATCTATTTTTTAACTCATTCATCCAGTTGACCATTGATAGAGAAACTCTGGGGGTATTCAAGAGGGTACTTACGAGACCATTGCCATCAGTATCCATGTATGAGATCAAACAGGTAGAAAAAACTAGAAGAGAAAAAAGAATTTCAGTTGAATGCAGGGTTAAAGTGTTCATAAAGGCATTTATCTCTCTGACTGGGAAAAGTCATTCCTATTTTAATTGATTAATTTCACAATAAGGCAATTCATGAGAAAACACTTTATTGCATAACTCAAGGACCAACTGTTTAAATCTGAGTTTATAAAATAAGCCAGAATTTCATGTGCATATTATGCTTTCAAACCCACAAGCAAGACATGTATATGATTCACATGCTTAATATTGCATTATATATGTTTTTGGAAAGTGAAAATGGTTTCCCCTTCATGATGAACAACACAGCGTAAGATGTGGAGAGATTTGATCCATTGCTTTGATTCTGTTAGTATTAACTGAATAATTTCAAAAATGTAACTAATCCCTGCCTCAGAAGTCCCAACTTTAATATAAAGATGAGCCTCTTTTGATGTACTGCACTTTGTAGTGGATTACCTGAAAAACAAGAGAATCTGTGGTTTCAAGAAAAGCCAATGAAAAAAGAAAAAAGTTGCATATTATTCAGACTTTAACAAGCAGGAAACTTGTTAAATATCCACAAGCCACTGAAACTCTCCCCAAACCAGAACCCTTCAACCTCTCATTATCCCACAAATACACATCTGTGGCACGTTGGACTTATTTCTCAAGCCAATGGGTCCCAAATTTTAAAGAGTGCCATAGAGAGTCTAGAATACCATATTTATAATACATAGCTATGAATAAGACATATTTTTGTCAAATATCATAGAGAAAATCACAAAAAAAGACTGATAGATTTATTTACTTAATTTTTACCATGAATGTGAAAAACAAAAACCAACATAAAAAATCAAATGACAAGCTGGTGAAAATGTCTGCAAGATACATTTAATGCATCAAGTTCATAACATAGGGAGAGTTCTTCTCACACACCAATAAGAAAATAATAAGCAAACTAACAGAGCAAGTGAATGCATTTTTTTGGAAATAGAATTGATTAATGTTTTGCCTCATTAGTAATACCATAAGTGCCAAATAAAACATCATGATTCCATTTCTAATCTACAAGACAAGCAAAACAGATTCCGTAACAGAAGTCAGGTTTGGTGGAAGTGTGTTGAAAAGATTGATGCCTTGTTGGGATGTCCAGCTGTAAGAACCTTGCTGGAAGGTTTATCAGGATGAAGCGGGGGCAGGGGGGTAGCATGCTTTGGAAAGGCAGTAACCGTGCCTGAGCCTTTACATTGGGCCATCAATGATGCTCAGTCCTGCCACACCAAACATGCAGAATTTTACAATATTCATGAGTGAAAAAATAGGTTTAAAAAAGTGCACATTTAGATAGGATCACATACATAGAGCTCGTGTATCAATGCATTGTTGGGGGACATCTGAAGATACTTGCAGCAAAGTATAGATGGTAGTTATCGATGACAGTTGAAAGAGACAGTAATTTCTTATTTCCCTATGTATTTACTTTCTATAAGAAGTATTTACAAAATTTAAACATTCAAATTAAAGATCATAAATAATTTATTAACCCTTGTGATGTGGTTTTAGTATCCATTGATTGAGTAGAGATGTCAAAGCCAGTTTGAATTAGGCAATAATTTTAGGTCAAAAAGTTTGCAGGGGGCCTGCCTGGTGGTGCAGCAGTTAGCGCTGGGTTGTGAAGCTGCCCGCAGTCTCTGCAGCGCCAGTTCGATCCCCGGCCACTGGGCGAGGGTCCCACATGGTGCGCAGACCTCTCCCGCCACTCACTGCTCCCCTCAGCAGTGTACTTCGTCACTCTGCCTGGCTCTGGTGAATTCTCTCACCCTCCTGTGCCTCTGACTGTACCCAGTGCTTGTATAAATAAATAAATAAATCTTTAAAAAAAAAAAAGAAGTTTGCAGGGCATGTAGAAGTTAAGCAGAAAGCTGGATTGTTCTGGGCTGGACTTCATTTCCAGCTTGGCAACTTAGTGCTTATTTCTTTGGCTTACATTTTGGGCTCACTCCTCTGTGAAATTGGGATAATGATAATTTCCTTAGCATCAAATAAGAATTAAGTGGGGAAAATACCTTCATGATGTCACAAGATGACCTAACATGTATTAAATGCCCAAGAAGTTATTTTATTATCATAAAATATATTCATTTCTTTAGTAAACAGGTAATAAAGGTGACAATATATGTGAGGTATATATTAGGGGGTGTGTGTGTGTGTGGTGATATAAAGCATTACTGTGTAACCTTCCATGACTCTACGCAGATGGCTCATTGGCTCTGCCCCTTCAATGATATAATAGTTGAATTTATTGCATTTATTAAGCAGTTACTATGTCCCCAGCACATCGATTGTGTTCATGTTTCACGCCATATGATTATCAGAACCACCTTAAGATAAGCTACTACTCTCAGCCTTGTGTCCTTGATGAGGAAATTTAGGTAATTTAGATGAGGATGTCAGTAAGTGGACGTTTAAGAATTCAAACCCAGACTCCAGAACCTATTCTCTGAACCACCACGACACATGCCTGGCTCCCCCAAAGTCTCTGACAGCTCACTGCCCCGAGGCTCTGGGTGGGTCTCTCTGGTTGGGCAACAGGAATGTCCAGGGCAGAGGCCAAAGTCCAGTCTTGTACATGCTTCAGAGTTAGCCAGTGAAGGCACAACTTGTCAAAATGAACTTTTAAAATAATGAATCCTGGGGCCTTCCTGGTGGTACAAGGGGTTAAGAAACAGCACTATGAAGCTACCCACAGCCACTGCAGCACGAGTTCGATCCCCTGCCAGGGAGCTGACCCACATGGCACAGCAGACCTCTCCTGTCTTGCCCGCTGCTCCCCCAGCAGTGTATTTCAGTACGTCTGACTGTTCTGCTCCCCACTCTGTCTCTGGTGAATCCTCTCATCCTCCCCCCACACCTCTGGCCTGTACCCCAGTTCCTGTATGCATAAATAAATAAACCTTTAAAAAAGAAATAAGGAGGGCCTCCCCAGTGGCGCAGCGGTTGAGTACTGGGTTGTGAAGCTGCCCACAGCCTCTGCGACACCAGTTCGATCCCCGGCTGCTCCCCGGCCACCGGACGAGGGTCCCACATGGCGCGCAGACCTCTCCTGCCGCCCGCTGCTCCCCTCAGCAGTGTACTTCGGTCCTTCTGCCTGCTCTGCAACCCGCTCTGGCTCTGGTGAATTCTCTCACCCTCCCGCGCTTCTGACAGTACCCAGTGCTTGTATGTATATATGTATGTATGTATGTATGTATGTATGTATAAATAAATAAATAAATAAATAAATAAATAAATAAATAGATCTTTAAAAAAAAAATAAGGAATCCCACCCTCAGACAACCTTATTTCAGAGGAATTCTAAATCACTTCCCTTAGTCAGCTTTCTAGTAAAACAAGCAGAGAATTGAAAGAAGATGATGAAGACAAAGGGGAAGAAATTCATATCTAATTCTTCCCCCATGCCCTGGGTTTTGTTGGTCATTCACTGCTCTAGTCACCGACATTGAGCCTTCCTCGGAGCCTGAGGACTATGCCCTTGTACATATTGACCTCCTAACCATCTCTGAAATGTCCACTCTGGTGATCCCACTGCTCCCACCCTCATCCCGGCACCAACACTTGTCTCTGAAGCCACTCCAGGGTCTGCTAGCTGATGTCCTGGCTTCTTTCTTTTCCAGAGTGATGTTTTCTAGATTGTCCATCTGACTACTCATCTCTTTCCTTAAAACCCTCATGGTCAATGGACTTGAGATAAAAACCAAAATCATGAAAATCCACTGGAAGTATGGCCCTGTGCTACTTGGTCTGTCTCCTCTCCAGCCCATCTTCAGTCACTTCTATGTCTGCTTCTTTCCATCTCTCTGACCCACCGGCTTTCTGAAACTTTCTTAAACCTCTTCTACCAATTTCAGAACTTCTGTGCAAACCCTACCCATAATGGCTTTACAATCAAATCTTTCAGCCCTCAGATGACATGTTATTTAGTCAAGAAAGTGTTCCCTGATCCTCATGAAAGCCCCATCCCCTTGATATGCTTCCCTTGTACTTTATCTTCCATTTATAGGTGTTCTCATAACCCTACTGAATTATTAATTTAACCACTGGTTCTTTAATATCTCACTTCCAACATCTTATACCCACTAGAATATAACAAACTTGTTTAGAGTTTGTCTCATTTATTAGATCAGCACTGTAACCCAGCATGGTTCAATAGGTATTTGTTGAGCAAGTGGATTAGAAATACAAACAACAAAAGACTGAACTACAGAGGAGCTTCCATAAAGAAAATCTGTGAATTCCAAATTTTTATATTTAGTGAAATATTGCCATCATAACTATTCCTATTAGAAATATCCTTTCTAGAATATGTGGTCCATATACACCATGGAATATTACTCAGCATTCAAAAAAGATAAACACATGCAATTTGCAGCAACATGGATGGCGCTGGAAGGGATCATGCTCAGCGAAATAAGCCAGAAAGAAAAAGAAAAATACCGGATGGTCTCACTCATAGCAGGAATCTAGAAAACTTAAATAAGGGTCCAGGAAAAAGAATAACTATAAGAAAGAAAATATCAAAATCAACAAACAACTATGAACCGGAGACACTCTATGAGGAGTGGGGGGCGGGGCGGAGAGGGATTGGGGTCAAAATAAGGGGGTCGCAATTGTATGGGGAATATAAAAATAAAAATTAAAAAAATAATAAAAATTAAAAAAAAAAGAAATATCCTTTCTAGGGGTCTCCCTGGTAGCCCAGGAGTTAAGTCTCGGCACTGTCACCACGAAGGCCTGAGTTCGATCCCCAGCCAGGGAGCTACCCACATGGCACAGCAGACCTCTCCTGTCTCCCCGCTGCTCCCCTCAGCAGTGTATTTCGGTAGATCCACCTATTCGGCTCCCCACTCTGTCTCTGGTGAATCCTCTCACTCCCTGCACCTCTGGCCTACATGCCCTTTCTTCTACTGGCATGAAAGAAAAGAGAAATATCCTTCATAAACTGCAGAACAGG